ATGCAAGAAAGACTTCTAGTAGTTTCTTTAAGAGCAAAGACTAGATACTGAGGAAACACAGCTTTAATACAAGAACCAGGGGGACATCTGCTGGCCAACCTTTGGTACTGAAGTTGTATTGAAGGATTCAGGGCCAAATGTCATCAATTAGTGAAGCAAAATACCAGTGGAAGTCACCACTGTCATATTTTGTTATATTTCTGTATGATCGATAAGTGACAGTAGAGCTGTTACAAGGTGCTGATTTTATGAAATACCTGGCTTAAAAGTTGCAGTGGGTAAAAATAACATTTAATCATATTTACTGGAACTTTCACAATATCCTGAGCCAAGAATGATTGTTGAATCTCATTTCCACGTCATCAAATACTGACACTGGCATTTAGAGTCAACAATCAACTATCTTCAAGCCACCAACCCAAAGTGTCTTTCTATCTTTCTTGGCTCTGATTGGTTGTTTTTGTTCAGGCCTGGTGGATTCTTGCAAATGCCGTTAGGAGCACTAAGAGGAGCCAGAGGATTTACAGATTCACAGATTATCTATCATATCATCCTGTCAGTATATAGTAAAAGTTTCAGAAAACCATTTTTGAGTTACCTACTGTTTTGAATATAACGTGTGTGGTGAAACATTAATGAACTGTATAGATAATTTGAGGAAATGTAAACAGAGATTAAGGTTTTTTTTTTCTGTCATGGTTACGTAACCTGTTGTTTTAATTAGAACAAGGGTCTCAATCTTCCACCTCGTCAAATATTTTTTTTAATTTAATGATATTTTCTTGTGGTTTCATGCCAAGGAGACTTGGGTGGAAGCTTTTAGCTACTGTATTGAGGAATTTAACAAATGTGAGATGTTGGCTAGTTATGCCAGCTGTCTCAAATAAACATAAAGCTAATGTAACGTTGTAACATAAAAGTCATGAATTGAATCTCACTTTCCTTGAATTCGTTGAACAAATCAGGATGCCTGTCTTTGAGGGGCTTTACTAGGTTTGATGTGTTTCCTCCTTTCGTCTGAATAACTCAATGGCAACATTTGCATATTGTTTTTTGTGAATCTATCAATAATTCCATTGCCATAGACGACTTTTACTGTTTTTCTTTTCGACGAATCAAAGTAGCTGGAGGGTTCAACTTCAGTGCTGGCTGCATGCGTGCTCATGTAAGCTGCGACTGCTGCAGGGGGCTAAATTGTATTTGACCAGGTGTCACCTCTGGTTAGATGTGTTGCCCTAGCCAGCTTTGCACTTTGAGCGATACCTCGTTCACATAGGCTGCCTCTCCATCTCCGTCTCAGTCTGAGTACCCTTAAACGAGCGCGAACATCAGGTTACGCCAATCAGAGGCAAGGTGGGGCGGGTCATGACCTTAACATTCTGGGAGAAAAAATGGCAAACAGGACACTGCTGCCCATTGAGGCTAATGAATTACATGGTATCAGATTGTACTCACAATACACAAATCTGCATTTCAGGCAGTGTCTAAATCATTTCGATAACAGTATTGAAACAACCCTACTTTTAATGGGAGGATGGTAGGAAGTAGGATGTGGTGTCTGTCAAAGTGATTTCTCTTTTAATCTTAGTGAGATTATTAGGAAAGTGATTTATTGGGGAGAATGCCATTGAATGGATTTACTATGCACAACTACATCCCTACTTGCCATGTAATTTTTGTTCTAGGTCAGACACTGGATGTACAGCGAATGCAGTTAAGTTTGCCCAGATAATTCAGGTTCCCACACAGTTTTTGTTTGTAGTACAACTCTTCATCCAGACGAGGGCAGCATGGCTCTGTGGCTGTGCTGTAAACAGAGCAGTCCATGTGGAGAACTGCACATTCTGTTTGCTTTGAACCAGGAAGAGAGACTCAAGAGAGACAGGAAGAGTTCCAGTAACTGACACTGAGACTACTCCAGTCTTGTGGATTTTCTTTTAACTTAAAATCCAGACAGAAAAGGGTCCTCAGTTGGAAAACATGTAAAAAAAAATTTGATTTGTTGAGTCACTATCTATATTTTTCACCAGGTAAAAAGCATCTGATGTGTCAAAAGATCCCGACAACTCTCAATTGCATACGTCAAAAACTTACCAATGTGATTTGGTAGAAGTGAAACATTGTCACACCAAATGTCATTAAAAAATCTGGAACTTTTATTTTCCGTTTGCTTGTTGGCAGACATGTTTTTCAAAGCTTGTCCCTGGGCCTCTTAAAAAAGTTCTAAGGAGATTCTCTCCAGTTTGGCATACAGCACACCCAGAAACTAGGTTTATTAGTTATGCACAAATCTAAACAGTATTGTAGTTTAAAGTGTGAAGATTTTATTTGCTGTTTGGTGGGCCACTTAACAGAAGAGCAGAACTAAGGATTGGCACATCGACTATACTTCTTTAAACCAGTAATACGCATGAAGAATTATTTCCTGATTTTCTTTTAAATGGAGCTTGGCAGGGCATTTCCTCTCTGACAAAGAGGAAAAAATAACCACCTGACTGTGCTTGTTTCTTTGTGTTTGGTGAGCCATTTGCTGCCCCTCGTAACTGCAGTGGTAGGGAGTCAAACCTACGGGCAGGATGTTACCATGTTAAAAGCAACCAAGGGTGCTGACGATCAAATTAGATTTTTGTATTTGAGAGGTCGCTCAAATTGGAAATTTGTGTTTCAACCTCAGACTATATAAATAAAAACCTTTAACTTATTGCATGTAATTGTTTTTAAATCATTTCAATTCTTTCTTTTCCTGTTTTTCTAGAACAGATCTTGAGGTAAAAATGTAGTGTGTGAAAAATTCTAATGCTACTATTGAAACAATTCATGAAACATTCCTTCCTTTAAATTTTTAACAATGTTATAACTGAAATATCTTCTTGACAACAATTGAGTGATTACCGCCATCTAATTTGGCACAGACATTAATGTTCCCTCAGGATGAATTGTAGTCGCGCTGCAACTAATGATTATTTTCATTATCAGTTCATCTGTTTATCATTTTCTTGATCAATCGATTAATTGTTTGGTCCAGAAAATGTCAGTAATGGTGAGAAATGTTAACCCCTTTTTTCCAAAGTCTAAGAGGACGTTCCTCAAATGTCTTGTTTTGTAGATAATCCAAATATATTCAATTTACTGTCCTAGAAGACGAAAAGAAACCAGAAAATATGAAGAATTTCTGCACTTTTCTTTAAAAAATACTCAAAACTACTTATCAGTGATCAAACTAGTTGTTGATTGATTAAGTAATTGACAACTAATCGATTAGTCGACTGATTATTGCAGCTCTAAATTGTAGTTGATCGCCTGTGTGTGTGTGTGTTGTAGGTGTGAGGGCCCATGCGGACATCCAAACTTCCTGGACGACTGCTGTCACACCAGGTCTGTCCAGAACCAGACGAAACAACATGAAGATGGCTTATTCACTTTTTGGTATTTGTGGAAATGTTCAAACCAGGACACGGGGGGACAAAAACCAGTGTGACAATGTCTAATGTTGATGAAGCAAATCTTTCTGAGCCTGAAGTGGAGTTTGAATCACATGTGGGTTACAACCTACAGTAGATTTAAAATGTCATTCAAAAACACTGCATTTGATCGATTCAAAGTTGAGCATAAAGGTTTGTATTGTCAGAAGAGCAACTAATCTGTAAGAGGAAGCAGTCTCTATAAACTAGTGTGTCTACAGCCGGCTGGAGTTTGGGCTGAGCTGGGAATCCTCAGCTGCTCGGCTACGAAGGCCTCCCTCCTTCTCACCTCTCAGTGGTCTGAACCTGCAGAAGGCCGCTGCCCTGTAGCTGAGCAGGCCAATATGACTGAGCAGGAGGAGACTGTTTTTTCTCTTGTACAGTGTTTTTATTTATTATTTCCTACTCTTACTGTTTTTATACAGTTTTTTCTCTGTCCACTTTGCTGCTGTAACATTGGAATTTCCCCATTGTGGGACAAATAAAGGAATAAAGGAAAAGGAAAGGAATGTCAAACATTACATTAATTATCTGTGTATTGATGCCTATCAACTAGTACATGCAATGGCAGGTCTGTTATAACAGAAGTTTATATTATGTGTTGGCCCTTTCTAAAATACTGCTAGAAATGCTTCAAACATCTGAAAGAAAATACATACGAAGCATAGTGTGTGCAGTAGATTGGGGAAAATAATGAGAAGTGCTATACTACCCTTCCTATTTTGAAACATCCACCAAGTTCCTTGATCTAAATCTTGTCAAAACATGACACAATGATGTTAACTTTGTATGTTTAAAATTAACAGACAACTGAGTATGTCATCTGTTACTTTACTTTGGTGATCAGTGGTTTGTGTAAGGAATGTGTGCTTTAAAAGAAATGATAAAGAGTTATTAAACCTATCTGCAATCATAAAATTAAATAGTCCATTTAATCTTCCTGAAAATAAAATATATGACTATTTCAGCACTGTTGGGCGGCAGTAGCTCAGTCTGTAGGGACTTGGCTTGGGTACCAGAGGGTTGCCGGTTCACGTCCCACAGACCACAAAATATGGAGTGTGGACTGGTAGCTGGAGAGGTGCCAGTTTCACCTCCTGTGCACTGCCGAGGTGCCCTTGAGCAAGGCAACCTAGCCCCAAAAAAAACCTGCTCATGGGGTGCTGTTAATGTTGCAGTCCCATCACTCCACCATCTCTCTCCCCTTTGCATGTCCACAAGTGCATGAAGTGTGCATTTCAGCTTGTGTGTGTATAAAAAGAGTGAAAAGAACAATTTCCCCTAGGGGATCAATAAAGTATATCTTCTTCTTCTTCAAAAGTTGTAAATTGAGGACATAAGACGTATGTACAGTATCTAGGAAAAGGAAAATCTTTTCATTGTCATATTCACAGTATACATACACCATTTTACGTACATGAAATGAAACTTGGCCTCTGCATTTAACCCATCCTTCGTGGAAAAAAAATTGGTAGTTGATTGTTGTCACTTCCTTAGAATTACAGAGAAATTTGCAACCACGTCATTGTTCTGCTGTGCTGTAGCAGTGCTGCAGTGCTGACTCTCTATGAAATAGTTGGTGACTTTATGAGCAATGGAGGAGATCTATGTCAATGTTGAACATGACAAACCCGTCAACTCAAGACCCTCAGCAAATCAGACAGGTAAGACCATTCAGTCAGACTGAGAGGTTGTGCACAGATACATATTATCATCTGTCATTATTAATATTGTACACTTGACTGTATTCACTGGTCTTTCAGGTCCCATGAGCTCTGAGAGGAGATTTCATGGATCTGTTGTTCTCTGTTTGGGTCTGTTCACTGTTCTGCTGCTGGTTGGACTCATCACCCTCAGTGTCTTCTGTGAGTCTGGTTTTCATAAGTTAATGTCAGTTTGAATTGTAATTTTCAGGAACATTGTTCTGCTCTAAAGATACGGGTGTCCTGGCTTTTCTGTGATGTATTTTTTCTTGACTTTTGTCAATATTTTCCTTAACTCGTTGTCTTTAAAGTACTTGATCTGTTTTGAAAAGCACCACAGAATAAATTCAAACACTGACATCATGAAGTACTTGTAAATATATTTGGAAAGAAAAAGAATTTGGTAAAATGGTAAAAAGTATCAACACTGTCTGAGAAAAGATAAGGAGATATTATTATAAAGACACTACAGCACTGTTTGGATTTGCCATATCTTCAACGATTATAACTTCTGAACCTTATGTGGTACAACCACTAAATTGGTTGTGCGTGGCTGTTTCGTTGTACTGTCCCGTGTTTGGTGCCCCTAGCTTCTTCCTTTCATATTGCTGCAATAAACTCCCTTTCAAAAAATTTACCAAAAAGTGTCACAACAAAAACTGGTGTGTTCCTCCTCCCCGATGGACATTGGTTCTGAGCCAATACAACCTTCTGTTCCTGAGAGAATAATAAATAATCCTTTGAGGGGCGTCCAGATAGCTCAGTGGGTTGAGCTGGCAACCCATGTACTGAGGCTGAGTCCTTGCTGCAGCGACCTAGGGTTCGAATCCAACCTGCGGCCCTGTGTTGTCTGTCTTCAGCTGTCACTATAATAAAGGCAATAAAAGCCTAAAAAAATATACTTAAAAAAAAAAAAAATCCTTTGAGCTCATCCAGGGACACATCTCTTGGCAAAGCTAATATTAGCAAAGAATTACTGTACCCACATCTACATAACCCATATTTCTATTTCCCTAAAAAACAAGCTCAAGACCACATCTAAGCTTGCGTCAGTAGAAAAATGCAGGGTGTTACACAATTAAATGTAATGGTAAAGACCTGTACTTGTATAGCACCTTCTAGTCTTAACCACTCAAAGCGCTTTACACTACGTGCCACATTCACCCTTTCACACACATTCACACATCGATGCATGGGAGCAATTCGGGGTTCAGTATCTCGTTCAAGGATGCTTCAACATGTGGCGCTAGGAGCCGGGGACCGAACCAACAACCTTCTGATTAAGGGACGACCCGCTCTGCCTCTGCGCCACAGCCGCCTCTATTATATATATATTTAATTAAGTACATGAATGATGGCTATCTCAGAAAGCAGCACTATGCCGGACAACAGGTTTCTAAAAAGGGACCACTTTAAATAATGGCAACAGAGCTGCTAAATGCTGCCACAGCTTTAAAGAGTTGCTCCCACAAAGACAAAAGTAGGCACACCATCCAGAAACGGATGTGGCGACACATCCACATGTTGAATCATGATCTCACCTTCCCACACCATCCTGTCCTTAGTCTACAAGGCAGATGAGAAGGCCAGTACCTGCTGCTTCATAAAGGTGGTGGTCTTCCTGAACCAAATTGGCAGGTCCAAATAACCTGGATATTACTGATCTTGTTGACCCAACAGATGGGAGGGCAATAGGGCTGTCACAAGAACCTATACTTTGGTGCCAAGTGAATGCCAAAATTCAGAAACCTTTTTTCTACAGTACCATAGGTACCAAGGGTGCACTGGGCAGTACATACTCTACTTTTAGTCATAAACGCAATTAGGAAGAGGTGCAGCTGTATAGGTGATTTGAAAGATTCCTGTGGCTTCATTTTGTGATGTTTCTGTTGGTGACATGACAGCCCTTTTGTTAACGGTGGTCAATTTACAAACTGGTGCAAAGACTCCCAAAAATTAATGGAATTTGAAACATTGCAGTTACGTACATATTCAATTCAAAGAGGTAGCTGCTCTGAGTCTGAGTAGTTATAAAGCTTTAAAATTGGCACCAGCTGACCTAATCACAATTGCTGACATGCCTCAGGCCTAAGGAGCTGACAAAGGTCTGAGAACTCAGAAACTTTTGCACGTGCCACAATTATGTTTTAATTTTTAAAAGAGTGTTTGGTGAAAATATTCTGTTTAATGTTCTATACTGAAGGGGGGCTGTGTTCAAACTGGGATGGATGTTGGCAGAGTCTTGCTGGGTGTCTTTAGGAAGGAATGCAAGCTGACATTCCTCTATCTGTAGGACTCCCCACATGTGTACATAGATGCCATTTAAGCATTCTGTGAGTGGTGCGATTGGGAAATGTGGGTTGTGACACCCTCAATTTTAAACTGACCTCCTCTCCAGGGCAGTGACTTACTTGTGGTACATGAGGGACCTCAAAGTGTCAGCTGGGATGCCGCTTTGTGCACGTCCTCAGGTTTGATGTAGAAATCCCTTTTTCTTTGACCCTCAGCCTGCTTTAATCTGGAGGCCCTACTCTACCTCCTGGAGGCACACGCTGTCATTGTCCCATTCAAGGACTCTGTATCTGGTGAGGGTCAACTCTCAACCCTCTGCAGCACGTACAGGTCCAGTGAAGGACATGCACAGTATGATGCCACACTGATCTGGTCCATTGATATTCTAGTCATACCAGAGTTTGACTTCAGCCTTTGAGTTGAGATATTTAACAGATTGCATAAGCAAAAAAAAAAAAACATATATGCATTTATTTCAGACCATGACTCATCTGCAGAACTCTCCACCATCAATGACAAGCTGTCCTCTGTGTCTGAAGAGAAAGACCTGCTGAATTCCAGCCTCACTGAAATGACTAAAGAGGTGGACAGGCTTCAGAGATTGTCCAAACAGAGTGAGTGTTTGCCTGTGTGGGTTCTACACAGCTGTCGATTATAGAAAAGCATGATTCAGAGAATATGATTATGACACTTATATCCTATTCTAAGTGGTGTAAACTATAGTTAAGGTTAGTTTGCCTCGTCCTAATAACTTTATTTTATAACTTTATTAAGTCTCTCAATATATTTAAACATACATTTATTCGGAATAAGACACCTTTTCCACTTTAAGATGCTATTAGTATCTAGTTACAAGACAACATTTTCAAATGTTTTAAATGTGGCCACACAATCTTTATACAGTGATTTCCAAGCTTTACTATTTTTGCTTCCCAGGATTCTTTTTTTATATTGCCTTCCTTTTTTTTCCGTCAAGGGGAAATTTGATTCACAGTAGACAAACACAACAAACAAGAGGGCATACAAGAAAACAGGGGACATTAATCAGTAACAGTAAATAACCAACATAAAGAAGATGTATCTGTTTGTTAAAAGTATAAAAACATTGGAATGATAGCTGTCAGTGCTGCTCAAGGTCCAGTAAATATCATTGACAGTATATAGTGGACAGAGCTTCTGGGTCTGTCAAGTGAAGCCAATGTGTAAGTGTCTTAAACCTGCATTCTATGTAATGGCCAGCAGGGGGAGCTCCATGGGCTGCAAAAAAGGCTGATAGTATGGTCTCAATCTCTAGTTTCAGTCTTCTTCCATACAGCATGATGTTCATTTAGTAAATGAGGTTGCCATTTAGAGTAAAATAGACGATAAATCATGGTATGCATTAGGGCGTGGCTACCTTGTGATTGACAGGTCATTCTCAGTGAGTCCGTCCAGCTCAACGCACCAAACTCAGATCAAACTGTCAAACTAGGCAGTGCTGATCAAACATGGAGCAAGATTTGTTTGAGCATATTTTAGTGTACTGTTTTTGTTATATTCTGGTAAGTCATCTGGCTGTTTTGTTTTGATTCATTGTCCACTGTATAATAAATGTCTATATACACAAACATTTTCATCCACAGAACCTGCATTTAATTTGAGTTTTCTTTGGTGCATTTTATAGAGAAAACTTGTCCTGCAGATTGGAGGATGTTCCGTTGTACCTGTTATTTCTTCTCCACGACATCTGCTTCTTGGGAAACAGGCAGACAAGACTGCAGAGACAGAGGAGGGGATCTTGTGATCATAGACAGTTCTGAAGAACAGGTAGTGTGGACTTTTTCCTTATAGATCCATAAAAAGCCATCTAAGACAATTTGCCTAAATGCTTTATGTACAAGCGTTTGACCAGCTTTCCACAAACCAGCGGCTTTAAAAAAAGTTAAATAAACAACTTATTAAAACGCAGACAAAACACAAGGACAATATTTAATGGATCAATGAAGTTCAACTCATGATGCTGTACCTTGTAAACAGTAAAAAGTAATTTAGATACACAGTGGGTTTTTATATCCTTTTACTTATTTACTAAAGATACACTGGTAGGATGGGACTTATGCTGCACCTGGCAGCACAGTGGATTTTAATTTCCAGTAGATTTTTTTTTTTTCATCTAAACTTCAAGCCTTCTTCAAGCAGCAGACCACCCGCAGTGGAAATAAGTGAATTACTAGTACTCTACTTAAGTACAATTGCAAGGTGCTTGACTCTATATGCACCATACAATATGTACTCCACTACATTCTAGATTTAAGGCTTTAGATAGTTTCTTTGCATAATCATATTAGTAATACAAAATTAAATCAACTAATCAACTATGATTTATTATTAGAAAATAAACAAGCCAGCAGTATATATAGTCATTAAAGGTTCAGTGTGTGTAGTGGCATCTAGTGGTATAATTACAGATCTAACTTCCTTGCTACACCCTCCCCTTCCAAGCATGAAGGAAACCCCCTGGTGGCCACGAAACGCATCAAAAACATGAATGTCCCTATCTAGAGCCAGTGTTTGGACTCAATGTAAGCTGACCGCTGCGTTTGTAGATATAAAAGCTTTATTCTAAGGGAACAACAACAGTTCTTACTTTTAGGTGATAATGAAAACATACCTATAAATCTCCCTCCTGAATGTTACACACTGGACCTTTAAAATTAGCCCCACCTTTACCAGCTGTGATATTGCTATTTTTATTAAAGTAAAACATAGTTTAGAGTAATTCTTCCACCACTGACTATGCTTTCTCCTCCTCACCATATGTTTTATTGGAATATATTTTATGTTTTTATGATCTGTAAACAGCGTTGGGTTGGTTAGAATGGGAGCAATGTAATCTCTAATTCTATGGATGAATCCATTGAATCTGAAAAGAGAGCAAATATCAGTTTGATATCACCCTTTAGTTTTAAAAATGGATGGAGTAATGATGGCACAATGGCAAATTAGATTATTTCCCCTCCTTTAGATTGAAGTTTGCCTCGTCTGCATATGTCTTTATGTTTTTCACCTGCTTATAAAAAACACCAAACTGATTCATGCCCTGCCATCTCTTATAATGAACTTACATCTGTATTTGAAGTTGTACAGATGATACAGATATGGACATAAAGTTCTAAATATGTATATTCTTAAAAATAATATCATATTATAATATATAGTAGTAGTATGTAATATTTATTTTATGCTAGTTCAAGTTTTAAGTGAATCTTATTGGATTGAGAATAATCAATGCAAATTTCATATATAATAAGGTTCAAACTAAAAGAAGGGATTTCTTTCCTTGAACAGGAATTCCTCACTAAAAACATCACGAAGGAAACCTGGATTGGTCTGACTGACAGAGACAATGAGGGCACCTGGAAATGGATTGATAAAACTCCACTGACTCTGGCGTAAGGCATACAGTAAATGTTCTACACCTTATTTGAATATAGGCACATATACAACATATACATTAGGACATTTATATGCGTATGACTGTCTAAATAACTGTTATCAGAATCATTTTGAACCTAATTTTCAACATTGCAGAGAAAACTTATTGGTTGACTTTAATGGGTGGGTTCTCTCTTTTTAAACTTACCAAAAAATGTAAGTGGGAAATGCTGTGAAAATTCACCAGCTTAATAACCTCCTAGGTACTGGGCGAGAGGTCAGCCTGACAACGGTGGTGGAGACCCACAGTGGGGTGAAGAGGACTGTGCACATTTCACAGTTAACGGAGAAACTGAAGCAAACTGGAATGATCGGCTGTGTGATGTGTCTTTCCAATGGATCTGTGAAAAAATGGCTTGAGTTTTGAAATTATACATTTATAAATACTTTTACAATGCTTTAATAGTGTTATTGTATGTGTTAGAGAGATAAACTACATGTAAAGGGTTAGTTCTTCAAACAGGGAAAATGAATGCAGGAAACTGGGATTTGTAGAATGTATTTGTGTACAGGTGTACAGCCTGTGCTGATGACTACAATGAAACAAAGTAAAATAATGTTCCCCAGCGTTGCGATTATATTACATTGAATATATAGTATATAGGTATTAATAAATAAAATTGACTCAATACTTTCCTTGACAGTTTGTTGTTTGATAGATGAAGACATTCACACTCACATTCGATGCTTTGGCCTTTCCACCTAACTAGTATCAACCCATTCTTAAATAAAATTAATTACTATGGCATTATATAGTCCAATCCAAAAACGTTATAACAAATAAAGATGTATGCATTATACTTATTGCTTTACATTTATATGATTTAGACTTCTGTACTGATAATTTAAGACAGCATTACAGTATTCTCAAGCTGTTATGGTTTTAAATGTAACCTTTATCAAAAAACTTTCAGCTTCTGTGATTTGGATATTGCCCAAGGCTGTATTGTGATTTTGATGACACTCCAATTAATTGTGCAGCAACAGTCAGTCAGCAAATGTCAGGCAGAAAAATTGAATGTACATTGACAGTTACCAAACCAAATTGAGCGTGCATGTTATGTTTTTTGCTGAATACTCGTCATATTCTCATTCATGACTGGGACTGATCAATACTGATTCACCCATTATCCAAAAGGGTTCCTGGGATGAAGTGAAATTGATTGATTTTGATATACTGAAACAATATCACACCAATTAACCAGAAGCCAGACATTTTAATGGTATTTTCTTTATTTACAGAACATTTGTACAAGATGATCTTGAGTTCAGTAAAGTAAAGTAAAAAGAAGTAAATGACAGTATTCTCGTCTGTTGGATCAGACCACACGGGCCAGCCTTCACTCCCCACATGCATCAATGAGCCTTGGTCTCCTGTTCACCGCTTTTCCTTCCTTGGAGCACTTTAGATAGGTACTGACCACTGCAGACCGGGAACACCCCACAAGAGCTGTAGTTTTGGAGATGCTCTGACCCAGTCGTCTAACCATCACAATTTGGCCCTTGTCAAATTCAGTCATATCCTCACGCTGCCCACCCGTATACCCTACTTACAGACCCCCAAACCCACTAAAACTAAATTTAAATTGTTTATTAATTGAGCGAGTACTTAGTTGAAACAAGTATCTGGTACAGATAACGTACTTTTTCCCAGTACGAGTATCATCAGAGTAAAATGTGTCAGTATCAGTACTTATAAATATAGCAAATCTTATATAAAAAATACTTTTCCTGTAAATGCATTTCTTACTCTTGTGATCAAAAACATTGTTCTGAAGCTCAATTCTGAGGTTGTGTAAGTAGTTTTCATGTAGCAACTTCTGATCAACACATATCAATTTCAATTACCTCTGGCTAACTACACCCACTTCATGTTTAAGCCACACCCACACCCTGCTTAAGTACCATTTTGTGAAATACAAACACTTTTTGTTCCAAAACTCCTAAATTTCAAAACACACATGGGTGTGGTCAACACATTTTTACAATTCAGGTGATCAGTGGCTGTAGCACAGTGCTGGCCACAACCAGGTACAGTGCATGAGAGAAGCTGAATGGTATTATTTCTGGGAGGAATCAGAATCAGGTTAAATAATGGCCAATTGTATTCACTTGAAAGCCCAGGTGACAGATACTGGGACTGAAGCAAACATAGTATGTTATTAAGACACTTGATATTGTGTAGACCATACACTGTTATATCAAGGCCTTTTGTCCTTATGGTCATGACGGATTATATAATGGTGTGTTTCCGTAACCAAAATTGTTATGAAAATAAATAAATAAATAAATACAAATGTATTGTGGTACAACTGGTATAACTGGTACAAGTTTAATAAAACCCCTTATAAACTGACATTTGCCAATTAATGAGGGAAAACTAATACTGTAACTATATTATTTTTAAGGATTGCTAATGAAAATTCTATTGATACATCCACTCATAGATATTACTTATTGATATATTAACGTTATAAGTTATTGATACTTTCATTGATTCCATTTAATTACTGTGCACAAACAGATCCTATTTATTTACTTTTTAAAAAAACTTAATATTGTTCCTCAGTCAGAAAAAGCAAGCCACTGTATAACTATGCCTGAATTGGAATAGAAAAGGTGCCAGTTGTCTGAACTAGCAACTGCAACACATGGCATTATTACAGGTAAACAGCCTAGTATTATAAGCAGATGACAGAAATAATATTTGTTTTGAAATGATCAAACACAGTGAATTACCTTACTCTACCCTGAAACCAAGTCCCCAATCAGAGCTTAAGTTTGGTGGTTATCCTTATATGCTACAGGTCTTTGTGTTGCCATAAAAATACCATTCACAAGATTTCTCAACAAAAGCAATATTCTTTTTAAAACAATTAGACAGATTTTATTTTCATTTTGATATGATATTATATATGATATATGATATGACATGCATACCTGGGTACATTTCCATAAACTTGGATACCGTTGGATCTTTTGGATCCAGGTAATTATTGTCCGGTGTCGGCAATCAAAAGCAAACAAAGAATGAAAGAATCAGGGTGTCTGATACAGACAAATGTATATGTGATTTTGCATTCTATAAACATACATTGATTTTCTTCATATTATATTTAATTTTCCTAATGTTAGGACATGTAAATTTGATGTATTGACAACAGCATGAAAAATTATTTTCCCTTAGTAGAGAAAGAATTGTTTAAGCCATCACAGTCTTTCTCTATAGTATGTTGGTATCAGATGAGCCGGGCTTAAATGTCTGAAGTGTAAAAATGTGTTTAATAGATCTTCTGAACCAGGGGTAGAAAAAGGCATAGATTATAGGGTTTAGACAGGAGTTTGAATACAACAGCCAAAGCTGAGCCACTACAGATGTCGCCTCCATCAGGTTGTTCTCAGCTGCAACAGTGAAACAGTAATATGGACATGAGCACAGAATAAACACAACTACAACAACACCGAGAGTCCTGGCTGCCTTCATCTCAGATTTCTTAGCAGTTACTGTCTTTGACCGCTGGAGTGTGACAGCTGCATTGTGGGAGCGCAGGGCACGAGCCTGAGACACAGCCACCACAAATATTCTCAGATATAGAACTATGATGACAACGATGGGGCCAACAAAGGTCACAGCATAGTCAAAAGCTCCTTCAACATAATTCATTATAATGAGACACTCTCCATAACAGGATCTATACCTGTCTGGTTGTTTCAATAAATCCCTCAGTATCCAGGTGCTGTGAACAGCTGAAAATATCCAACACATAGCAATGCAGAACTTAACTCTTTTCGGAGTGACTTTGGTGGAGTACAACATGGGGTCACAAATAGCCACATAGCGATCGACTGATATGAGCACCATGTTTCCTACTGAAACACTGACAATAAGGAAACCTAAAAAGTAATTAACAGCGCATACAAAGTCACCCAGCATCCAGCAGCCTTGGAAGAGGAGGATTTCAATTGGCATCTGCAGGAAACCCAGAAGGAAGTCGGCGACAGCCAGAGAGAGGATGAGGAGGTTGGTGGTGGTGTGGAGCTGCCTGAAATGGGAAAATATCAACACTGAACACATTGTTATATACAGTAGGTGTAAGAATCATTTTTGTAGTAGTTATAACATTAGTAGTATGAATTGGCCTGTAGCCATAAGCCTAACAGCACAACATTCTAGGAAAGGCACATGCAAAAAAACAGAATCTTTTTCTTTGTCAAAATCTGCTAATGTTTTCATCAGATACCTAAATGTGACAATATTCTGCCTAACTCAAAACTATGTAAGTGTAACCAAAAAACCAAACAATTTATAGGCCAAGCTGAAAAGTTTATCTCTGCCTGAAGTGGGAGATGGAGATGATGACCAGCAGGTTGAGAACCACAGTGAGCAGAGTAATGCAGGACAGCAGACTGTAAATGAGCGCATCTTCCAATTCAGGGCGTACTGTCTTCCTGCAGGAGTTGTTGAGTTGTGGAAAGCACAGCTCAGCTTCTTCTAGGGCCTTCATTTTCAGATAGAGAGGAGAATCTGCTGAGCTCTGTCAGCTTTGTGATCAAAGTTCTTTGTCAGACATCTGATTAATGTCTATCCGTCCTCCCTTCCCCTCCCATATGCAAATTATATTCATTCAGAAGGCCAAATATGTCATACTCTGGCTTCCATTACTCATGAACATAGTTGTTTCTGTAAAATAGAAATCCTTAAAAAGCAAACAAACAAACAAACAAACAAACAAAGTCACCACATGCTGCTTTGTGGGCCACTTGGTGCAGTTATGTGTAGGGATGGAAATTGAAAAGACTTTATTCATACCAATGCCATTATCGATTAGGGGCATTTCCAATCAAAAATCTGTCTTTCAGAGGCATTATTGGGTTCTGTTTTAAAGCTAGAGTGAAGATACAATCCATAGTTCATATGAAACTAGATGACGTAATGCATCCATTGCTACCAACCATATCACGCTAACTTGTCAGCTAAATAACACTCCAAAATTAGGCAAAATTTTGGCGCTGAAAAAACTGGCATGGTCTCTTGACCTGTGACGTCAAGATATCTGAAGGAAAATGGATTCTGTGGCTACCCACAAGTTTACCTTTGGAGACATGCCCACTTTGTACTAATCCCCTGCAGTTGCCTTATGCCTTGTTTATTTACCCCTGGTTAACTACTGACACTGTTCCCAGATTGTAAAATATGAGTAAATCAACTTGGGCTGCACAATATGTTTACAAAAAGCCCATCTAATTGCAATTCTTTTTTGACAGTTATTACATTTACTATATGATTCACAACATGGGAATCTCTGCAGCACTACAATACTTCATTATAATGCTGTTTGTCACAAATTTATCAAACAAAATCAGCTTCTGTGATTTGGATATTGCACTTTGCCATATTGTGATTTTGATTTTCAATTAATTGTTCAGCCCTTGAATCAACAGAGAAATGTCAGGCAGAAATATTGGATGTACATTGACACCTACCAAACCAAACTGAAAGTGCTGGTTAATGTTGAATACTCGTGATATTAGTTAATTTTAATATATTGAAACAATTTTACATTAATTAACAAGAAACCAGACCTTTTCATGCCATTTTCTTTATTTATAGAACATTTGTACGAAATTAACTTTTATTTAATTTATACATTTTATAACAATTCCAATTTGGGCAGGCGGTCAGGACCAATGAGAGTGGTAAGAAGAAAGGAGGGGGCTGGTGGTGTTTGTCAATGATAGATGGTGTAATTCTGGGCACATCACTATTTAAGAACAACTCTGCACAAAGGACATGGAGCTGTTAGCCATCAGCATGAGGCCTTTCTACCTACCAAAGGAATTTTCGCATGCCATCGTGATGGCTGTGTATATCCCCCCATCTGCAAATGCTCATATGGTCTGTGACTGTTGTGTTTATTGTAAAACTAGTTCAGGGCTGATGAGATGGTGATGTGAAGCTCTGGCTCTGGTAGTGAAAAAATAATGGCTGGGATCTGGGTAGTGTGCCTGAGCAGAAGGAGCAGGCAGGCTGGCTCGCTGAAGTGCAGGTCAGAGGACTGACGGATACAGGTTTGAGTTGCGATACATGAAACATGGGATGTATTCTCATTGACCCGGGAAGCTTGAGTTTGATAGCTAAGGGGTAATTAATGATTTCATTTTTAAAGGGACCAATGTAGTCCAGTCCAGTGATGATTAGTGATTTGTCAGTTGCGGTCTGTGGAGTGAAGCAGGGCAGAACAGGCATCTCTCCAGATCTTCTGACAGCGACGAAGGTAAGCCTGGACAGAAGAAACTGCAATCTTCTCCTCCTGAACAGAGAGCAGAGGGGGCTGATAGCCCAATGAACACTGAAAAGGGGACATACCAGTGGCTGCGCTGATGAGAGTTGTGGGAATATTCCACCTAGGCAAGTTGTGTGCTCCAAGAAGATGGGTTGTTAACAGTGATGCAATGGAGGGTAGCTTCCAGGTCCTGATTAACTAGTTTTGCTGTGCATTGGTCTGGAGATGAAAACCAGAGAAGACACTCAGCAAGGATTCTCAAACTTGAGGGAACACATGATGAACTAGGAGGTCTGCAGTCTCACAAGCTGTTTTTTCGCTAGCATACACAGTGCAGGCAGATATGTACAGTATGCTCTGGTTTCAGCTTCAACGGTAGGCCACCAGAAATACTGAGTGGTACAGCAACCCGACTGTAGTCTCTGATGAAACGGTGGTAAAAGTTTGCCAATTAACCAGAAAGCAGACATTTTAATGGTATTAACTTTATTTACAGAACATTTGTACAAGATGAACTTGAGTTCAGTAAAGTAAAGTAAAGTAAAAAGAAGTAAATGACAGTATTCTCGTCTGTTGGATCAGACCACACGGGCCAGCCTTCACTACCCACATGCATCAATGAGCCTTGGTCTCCTGTTCACCGCTTTTCCTTCCTTGGAGCACTTTAGATAGGTACTGACCACTGCGGTCTTCATGAGCTTCTTCTATAATAAAATTATTACTATTAGAGAAAAAATTAATCACCAACTGCCATCAACAGTTACCAGTGGCTCTCCAAGTTCAGGGACTTCTGTCAATGTAAACTTAGATATATATTTAGACTGTTTTTCTGCTATCGATCTTCATCAGTTAACTTCAATCATTTCTTCATCGAAGCCATCAACCTGTCTATTAGACCCGATCCCAACTAGGCTGCTTAAAGAAGTTGTTCCCTTAATTGGCACTTCTTTACTGGATATGATTAATCTTTCTTTATTATCAGGATATGTACCACAGTCCTTTAAAGTAGCTGTAATTAAACCCCTTCTTAAAAAGTCCACTCTTGACCCAGGGGTTTTAGCCAACTATAGACCGATTTCTAACCTCCCCTTCCTCTCTAAGATTCTGGAGAAAGTAGTCGCCAAAGAGTTGTGTAAATTTCTACATAACAATAGTTTATTTGAGGATTTTCAGTCAGGATTTAGAGTTCATCATAGCACAGAGACAGCTCTGGTTAAAGTTAATAATGACCTTCTGACTGCTTCTGACAATGGACTTGTCTCTGTACTTGTATTATTAGATCTTAGTGCTGCATTTGACACCATTGACCATAATATTCTTTTAGAGAGACTTGAGCATCAAATTGGCATTAAAGGAACCACACTAAGCTGGTTTAAGTCATATTTATCAGATCGCTCGCAGTTTGTACATGTTAACGATGAATCTTCAATAAATACTACAGTTAGTCATGGAGTTCCACAAGGTTCTGTACTTGGACCAATACTATTTACTTTATATATGCTCCCTTTAGGCAACATTATTAGGAATCACTCCATTAACTTTCACTGTAATGCAGATGATACGCAGTTATATTTATCAATCAAACCCAATGAAATTAATCAATTATCTAAATTAAAAACATGTCTCACGGACATAAAATCCTGGATGACCTGCAATTTTCTGATGTTAAACTCAGAAAAAAACGAAATTCTTGTTCTTGGCCCCAAAAACCTTAGAGACTCACTGTCTAAAGATATAGTTACTCTAGATGGCATTAACTTGGCCTCTAGCACCACTGTCAGGAATCTTGGAGTTATCTTTGATCAGGATTTGTCATTTAACTCCCACATAAAGCAGACCTCTAGGACCGCCTTCTTTCATTTATGTAATATTAGAAAAATTAGACACATCCTATCACAGACAGATGCAGAAAAACTAATCCATGCATTTGTTACTTCAAGGCTGGATTACTGCAACTCTTTATTATCAGGTTGCCCCAATAAGTCCATTAAAACGCTCCAATTAATTCAGAACGCTGCAGCACGAGTACTGACAGGAACTAGAAAAAGAGATCACATCTCTCCTGTACTAGCTTCTCTGCATTGGCTCCCTGTAAAATGTAGAATTGAATTTAAAATCCTCCTCCTCACCTATAAAGCTCTTCATGGTCAGGCCCCTTCATATCTTAAAGAGCTCATAGTACCCTATTACCCCTCTAGAACAATACGTTCTCTGAATGCTGGGCTACTTGTGGTTCCTATAGTCTCTAAAAGTAGAACAGGAGCCAGAGCCTTCAGTTACCAAGCTCCTCTCCTGTGGAACCAGCTTCCAGTTGTGGTTCGGGAGGCAGACACCCTCACCACATTCAAGAGTAGGCTTAAGACATTCCTCTTTGATAAAGCTTATAGTTAGGGTTGGATCAGGTGAGTCCTGAACCATCCCTTAGTTATGCTGCTATAGGCCTAGACTATCGGGGGATTTCCCATGGTGCACTGAGCTCCTCCCTTCCTCTCTCTTTCTGCACTTATTCATGTCCCATTAATGCATGTTACTAACTTCACTTCTTCCCCGGAGTTCTTGTGCTTTCTCGTCTCGCAGGTTCTCATGGATCCTGGTGGAGCCTCCTGCCATGGTCCTGCTTGACTGGCATTGCCAATACTGTTGTTGCTGTGCACCTGTCTGTCTGTCTGTCTGTCTGTCTGTCTGTCTGTCTGTCTGTCTGTCTGTCTGTCTCTCGCTCTCTCTCTCTCTGCCTCTCTCTCTCTCTCTCTCTCTCTCTCTCTCACCCCAACTGGTCGAGACAGACGACCAACCACCTAGAGCCGGAGGATCTGTCCTAGGTTTCTGCCTTTTAACAGGCAGTTTTTCCTTGCCCTTGTCGCCAAGTGCTTGCTCATGGTGGTACTGTTGGGTCTCTGTAATTAATGTTGAAGAGTTCGGTCTAGACCTGCTCTATTTGAAAAGTGTCCTGAGATAACTTCTGTTATGAATTGGCGCTATACAAATAAAATTGAATTGAATTGAATTGAATTGCAGACCGGGAACACCCCACAAGAGCTGTAGTTTTGGAGATGTTCTGACCCAGTCGTCTAACCATCACAATTTGGCCCTTGTCAAATTCACTCATATCCTCAAGCTGCCCACTCGTATACCCTACTTACAGACCCCCAAACCCACTAAAACTAAATTTAAATTGTTTATTAATTGAGCCAGTACTTAGTTGAAACAAGTATCTGGTACAGATAACGTACTTTTTTCCCAGTACGAGTATCATCAGAGTAAAATGTGTCAGTATCAGTACTTAAAAATATAGCAAATCTTATATAAAAAATACTTTTCCTGTAAATGCATTTCTTATTCTAGTGATCAAAAACATTGTTCTGAAGCTCAATTCTGAGGTTGTGTAAGTAGTTTTCATGTAGCAACTTCTGATCAACACATATCAATTTCAATTACCTCTGGCTAACCACACCCACTTCATGTTTAAGCCACACCCACACCCTGCTTAAGTACCATTTTGTAAAATACAAATACTTTAGTTGTTCCAAAACTCCTAAATTTCAAAACACACATGGGTGTGGTCAAAACATTTTTACAATTCAGGTGATCAGTGGCTGTAGCACAGTGCTGGCCACAACCAGGTACAGTGCATGAGAGAAGCTGAATGGTATTATTTCTGGGAGGAATCAGAATCAGGTTAAATAATGGCCAATTTTATTCACTTGAAAGCCCAGGTGACAGATACTGAGACTGAAGCAAACATAATATGTTATTAAGACACTTGATATTGTGTAGACCATACACTGTTATATCAAGGCCTTTTGTCCTTATGGTCATGACGGATTATATAATGGTGTGTTTCCGTAACCAAAATTGTTATGAAAATAAATAAATAAATAAATAAATACAAATGTATTGTGGTACAACTGGTATAACTGGTACAAGTTTAATAAAACCCCTTATAAACTGACATTTGCCAATTAATGAGGGAAAACTAATACTGTAACTATATTATTTTTAAGGATTGCTAATGAAAATTCTATTGATACATCCACTCATAGATATTTAGTTATTGATATATTAACGTTATATGTTATTGACACTTTCATTGATTCCATTTAATTACTGTGCACAAACAGATCCTATTTATTTACTTTTTAAAAAAAAATTTAATATTGTTCCTCAGTCAGAAAAAGCAAGCCACTGTATAACTATGCCTGAATTGGAATAGAAAAGGTGCCAGTTGTCTGAACTAGGAACTGCAACACATGGCATTATTACAGGTTAACAGCCTAGTATTATAAGCAGATGACAGAAATAATATTTGTTTTGAAATGATCAAACACAGTGAATTACCTTACTCTACCCTGAAACCAAGTCCCCAATCAGAGCTTAAGTTTGGTGGTTATCCTTATAGGCTACAGGTCTTTGTGTTGCCATAAAAATAACATTCACAAGATTTCTCAACAAAAGCAATATTCTTTTTAAAATAATGTTCTATTGTCATTCTAATGGGATAACTGAAGCAGAGAATACACATAATAAACAAAGAAATGCACTTACAACCAAGGTGGTGATACTTTTGTATACGAACAGATACTTTCTGCATCCAGAAGATAACAGACTGTATCTTAGACAGATTTTATTTTCATTTTGATATGATATTATATATGATATATGATATGACATGCAGACCTGGGTACATTTCCATAAACTTGGATACCGTTGGATCTTTTGGATCCAGGTAATTATTGTCCGGTGTCGGCAATCAAAAGCAAACAAAGAATGAAAGAATCAGGGTGTCTGATACAGACAAATGTATATGTGATTTTGCATTCTATAAACATACATTGACTTTCTTCATATTATATTTAATTTTCCTAATGTTAGGACATGTAAATTTGATGTATTGACAACAGCATGAAAAATTATTTTCCCTTAGTAGAGAAAGAATTGTTTAAGCCATCACAGTCTTTCTCTATAGTATGTTGGTATCAGATGAGCCGGGCTTAAATGTCTGAAGTGTAAAAATGTGTTTAATAGATCTTCTGAACCAGGGGTAGAAAAAGGCATAGATTATAGGGTTTAGACAGGAGTTTGAATACAACAGCCAAAGCTGAGCCACTACAGATGTCGCCTCCACCAGGTTGTTCTCAGCTGCAACAGTGAAACAGTAGTATGGACATGAGCACAGAATAAACACAACTACAACAACACCGAGAGTCCTGGCTGCCTTCATCTCAGATTTCTTAGCAGTTACTGTCTTTGACCGCTGGAGTGTGACAGCTGCATTGTGGGAGCGCAGGGCACGAGCCTGAGACACAGCCACCACAAATATTCTCAGATATAGAACTATGATGACAACGATGGGGCCAACAAAGGTCACAGCAAAGTCAAAAGCTCCTTCAACATAATTCATTATAATGAGACACTCTCCATAACAGGATCTATACCTGTCTGGTTGTTTCAATAAATCCCTCAGTATCCAGGTGCTGTGAACAGCTGAAAATATCCAACACAGAGCAATGCAGAACTTAACTCTTTTCGGAGTGACTTTGGTGGAGTACAACATGGGGTCACAAATAGCCACATAGCGGTCGACTGATATAAGCACCATGTTTCCTACTGAAACACTGACAATAAGGAAACTTAAAAAGTAATGAACAGCGCATACAAAGTCACCCAGCATCCAGCAGCCTTGGAAGGAGAGGATTGCAATTGGCATCTGCAGCAAACCCAGAAGGAAGTCTGCAACAGCCAGAGAGAGGATGAGGAGGTTGGTGGTGGTGTGGAGCTGCCTGAAATGGGAAAATATCAACACTGAACACATTGTCATATACAGTGCGTGTAAGAATCATTTTTGTAGTAGTTATAACATTAGTAGTATGAATTGGCCTGTAGCCATAAGCCTAACAGCACAACATTCTAGTAAAGGCACATGGAAAAAAACAGAATCTTTTGTTTTGTCAAAATCTGCTAATGTTTTCATCAGATACCTAAATGTGACAATATTCTGCCTAACTCAAAACTATGTAAGTGTAACCAAAAAACCAAACAATTTATAGGCCAAGCTGAAAAGTTTATCTCTGCCTGAAGTGGGAGACGGAGATGATGACCAGCAGGTTGAGAACCACAGTGAGCAGAGTAATGCAGGACAGCAGACTGTAAATGAGCGCAACTTCCAATTCAGGGTGTATTGTCTTCCTGCAGGAGTTGTTGACTTGTGGAAAGCACAGCTCAGCTTCTTCCAGGGCCTTCATTTTCAGATAGAGAGGAGAATCTGTTGAGCTCTGTCAGCTTTGTGATCAAAGTTCTTTGTCAGACATCTGATTAATGTCTATCCGTCCTCCCTTCCCCTCCCATATGCAAATTATATTCATTCAGAAGGCCAAATATGTCATAGTCTGGCTTCCATTACTCATGAACGTAGTTGTTTCTGTAAAATAGAAATCCTTAAAAAGCAAGCAAGCAAACAAACAAACAAAGTCACCACATGCTGCTTTGTGGGCCACTTGGTGCAGTTATGTGTAGGGATGGAAACTGAAAAGACTATTCATACCAATGCCATTATCGATTAGGGGCATTTCCAATCAATAATCTGTCTTTCAGAGGCATTATTGAGTTCTGTTTTAAAGCTAGAGTGAAGATCCATAGTTCATATGAAACTAGATGACGTAATGCATCCATTGCTACCAACCATATGATGCTAACTTGTCAGCTAAATAACACTCCAAAATTAGGCAAAATTTTGGCGCTGAAAAAACTGGCATGGTCTCTTGACCTGTGACGTCAAGATATCTGAAGGAAAATGGATTCTGTGGCTACCCACAAGTTTACCTTTGGAGGCATGCCCACTTTGTACTAATCCCCTGCAGTTGCCTTATGCCTTGTTTATTTACCCCTGGTTAACTACTGACATTGTTCCCAGATTGTAAAATATGAGTAAATCAACTTGGACTGCACAATATGTTAACAAAAAGCCCATCTAATTGCAATTCTTTTTTGACTATATGATTCACAACATGGGAATCTCTGCAGCACTACAATACTTCATTATAATGCTGTTTGTCACAAATTTATCAAACAAAATCAGCTTCTGTGATTTGGATATTGCACTTTGCCATATTGTGATTTTGATTTTCAATTAATTGTTCAGCCCTTGAATCAACAGAGAAATGTCAGGCAGAAATATTGGATGTACATTGACACCTACCAAACCAAACTGAAAGTGCTGGTTAATGTTGAATACTGGTGATATTAGTTAATTTTAATATATTGAAACAATTTTACATTAATTAACAAGAAACCTGTTCATGCCATTTTCTTTATTTATAGAACATTTGTACAAAATCAGCTTTTGTTTTTATTTAATTTATACAATTTATAACAATTCCAATTGGTGCGGGCGGTCAGGACCAATGAGAGTGGTAAGAAGAAAGGAGGGGGCTGGTGGTGTTTGTCAATGATAGATGGTGTAATTCTGGGCACATCACTATTTAAGAACAACTCTGCACAAAGGACATGGAGCTGTTAGCCATCAGCGTCAGGCCTTTCTACCTACCAAAGGAATTTTCGCATGCCATCGTGATGGCTGTGTATATCCCCCCATCTGCAAATGCTCATATGGTCTGTGACTGTTGTGTTTATTGTAAAACTAGTTCAGGGCTGATGAGATGGTGATGTGAAGCTCTGGCTCTGATCTGGGTAGTGTGCCTGAGCAGAAGGAGCAGGCAGGCTGGCTCGCTGAAGTGCAGGTCAGAGGACTTTAAAGGGACCAATGTAGTCCAGTCCAGTAATGATTAGTGATTTGTCAGTTGCGGTCTGAGGAGTGAAGCAGGGCAGAATGGGCATCTCTCTAGATTTTACGAAGGTAAGCCTGGACAGAAGAAACTACAATCTTCTCCTCCTGAACAGAGAGCAGAGGGGGCTGATAGCCCAATGAACACTGAAAAGGGGACATACCAGTGGCTGCGCTGATGAGAGTTGTGGGAATATTCCACCTAGGCAAGTTGTGTGCTCCAAGAAGATGGGTTGTTAACAGTGATGCAACGGAGGGTAGCTTCCAGGTCCTGATTAACTAGTTTTGCTGTGCATTGGTCTGGAGATGAAAACCAGAGAAGACACTCAGCAAGGATTCTCAAACTTGAGGGAACACATGATGAACTAGGAGGTCTGCAGTCTCACAAGCTGTTTTTTCGCAAGCATACACAGTGCAGGCAGAGATGTACTGTATGCTCTGGTGTCAGCTTCAATGGTAGGCCACCAGAAATACTGAGTGGTACAGCAACCCGACTGTAGTCTCTGATGAAACGGTGGTAAAAGTTTGCGAAACCAAGAAACCGTTGTAGCTGTTTCAGGTTAGTAGGTCTAGGCCACTCTGCTACTCTCTTGACCTTCTCATGATCTCTCCTCACCTACCCACTCTCAACAATGAAGCCCAGAAAACTCACTGAGCTGGTGTGGAACTCACACTTCTCCACCTTAATAAACAACTTGCTCTCCAGGAGCCTTTGCAGCACTTGTCAGACAGAAGATGAGAATGTTTTTTAGGTAGACCAACACAAAACGGTTAAGAAAGTCACTAAGCACATAATTCACTAATGCCTGAAACACTGCAGAGCCATTGGTTAGGCTGAAAGGCATAACTAAATATTCAAAATGGCCCAGCAAAGGAATGCTGTCTTCCATTAATCCCCCTCCCGAATCCTAACCAAATGGTATGCATTCCTCAGGTCCAACTTGGAGAAGACAGTGGCACCGTTAAGATGTTCAAAAGCTGAGTTTATAAGTGGCAGAGGATAGAGTTATGTCTTTCAGGCCCCGGTAATCAACACATGGATAAAGGGTTTTGTCTTTCTTGGAGACAAAGAAGAACCCAGCACCAACAGGAGAGGAATAGGGCCGGATAATACCTGCAGCAACCGAGTTGTTGATGTTCTTTTCCGTCGCCTCCCTTACAGGCTGAGATAGGTTGTATAACTGGCTAGTGGGTAGAGTGGATCCAGGAAGGAGGTCAATGGTGCAGTCATAGGGGTGATGTGGTGGCATGGATAGGGCCTTCTCCTTGTTGAAGACCTCCCCCAAGTCATGATAGTCAAGCAGGACAAATGACAAATCTGGCGGCTCAGAGACTGGTGGGGTGGCAGGTGCCTCTGGTAGAGGAAGTGCAGATTGCAAGCAAGAGTTATGGCAAGATGTATTCCCACTCACCACCTTACTAGTAGACCAGTCCAGATGAAGGTTGTTTTTGATTAACCAGGGCTGTCGAAGGAGCAGAGGTGCATTAAGTGATGTATGACGTGGAACTGAATTTGTTCTCGTTGGTTTTCAGAGAGAAACAGAAGCACCAGAGCAGTTTGGTTCCATCAAGAGCATTGGCCGTCAGGGGGGAACCGAGTGGAATCACCTAAATGCCTGCCTGGAGAGCAAAATCCTGGTCCATAAAGTTCTCATCTGCTCCAGAATTCACAAAAGCTGGCAGAGACAAAGATTATCCCTGTGCCTGTCACAGAAGCGATTATCTAGTCTTATGGCTACAAAGATTAGTGAGTCTGGGCTACTGGTCTCATGTCTGGCAGCTAACTAAACTTTTTTGCTAAAACCAAGGAGGCATATAATTCATCAGATGATCAGTTGACAACCTGGTGCACCACCTGCCACTAGCTCTTCTTCATGATTCTGATCAATTGTCAAGGGGCTTCTATGATGGAAAAGCCACTGAATGTCAGTGGCGACATTAAAGCCATGTTCCACCAGGTCAGGCTGCTGCCAGAGGACAGTCCCTTACTGTGATTTATATGGGGGAATATGAGGAGAGAAGACCCGCCAGACATCTATGAATGGCAAGTTTTACCATTTAGTACCACTTTCAGTGCATGCTGTGCAACCTTTGCTGCCTAAAAGCATGTGGGGGACAACCAAGCTGGGAACATGGACATACTGCAGTCGGTTGAGCAGTGCTTTTATGTGTGTATGTCTGCAGAGCCAGCAGTCAGTCAGTGCAACATCTCATTGACAAAATGCAGGACCTACTGGCTGCCGGTAGCTTTGAGATTCGACAGTGGACCAGTAATCACACTTTGGTTTCGTCTCAGTTTAAGGTTTTTGGAGGGACTAGGGTAGCAGAGGAACAGGAATTGTCTGTTCCATGCCCCTGGAGGTATGTGTATTCAATCCCACAGACAACATCATGATGGGGAAACACTTGGTAGGCCTGGTCAAGCCAAGCTGGTGGAATCAGGGGGCTCACTTCCTTTGCATCCCACCAGAGGAGTGGCCAGCAATCCCCAAACTCGATGTCAACAAAGACCTCACCAAGCGGAAGAAAAGCACCTGTGGAGTCACTATCCAACAGGCCAATCCCTGCTTGCCAGATGTCACACAGTTCAACTCCTGGAAAGCTCTGGTGGTGACTACCTTGCACACCCTCCAGGCTGTAGCAGCATCAGGTGGTAAGGCACCCAATGCAGGCCACAAAGAGGCTGAGGCTTTACACCTAAGAAACTGTCAGGAGGAATGTTTTCTCAAGGAGATGGAAGCCCTTGCAGCTGGGAAGCCAGTCACACCCAGCAGTCATCTTGCTAATCTTGCACTCAAGACATGGACTGATCCGGGTAGGAGCTAGGATCAGATGTATGGAAGGCCCAAGCCTGATTGACATATAGCTCTACGGCTCTATCAACCCCCCTTCTTTTCCACTGTTGTGGGCCGTTCATCGTCAAGTTGGCCCGTTGCACTGAAAAGCAATGGAGTGTCATTTTTAAACCATTTTTACACTTTCTTGCTGGCCTTACAAATGTTCATAGCCAGGCGAGGGGTGTCATGCTAAATTCTCTATGATCAGGGAAAAAACTTCTGTGGTGCAGAGAGAGAGCTAAGGGAGTCTGTGGAGGTGGGTGTGGTTTGTACTGTAGAGAGAGGCGTGGGGAAGGCTTGTGAGAGCAGCGCAGGTGAGTTGATTATCTCAGCTGGTACTCATGGAGTAATCACACTCACCTCTTTTAAGGCAGTAGTGTGCTGGACCTCGGGGCCGACACACATGCCAGTGGAGACACACAACTGGAGCAGACCTGAATGGACTTCTGGAAGCAGGCTAAATTGTGTGTTCATTGTGTGTGCGGCGGACAATAGAATAAAGCTGTCTTGGTCATTAATCCCCATTGTTGGTCTGTGTGCTGGGAG